CCCCTAGAGCAGATCTCCAGGCATGCTGTGGTCTACACGGATGCCTCCACCACCGGGTGGGGTGCCACGTACAACGGGCATGCAGTCTCAGGGGTTTGGACGGGCCCGCAGCTGCATTGGCACATCAATTGCCTAGAGTTGTTAGCAGTGCGCCTGGCCTTGAACCGTCTCAAAGGGCGCTTACGAGGCAAGCACGTACTGGTCCGAACGGACAACACAGCGACCGTTGCGTACATCAACCGACAGGGTGGTCTGCGCTCCCGTCGCATGTCGCAACTCGCCCGCCACCTCCTCCTTTGGAGTCGGAAGGTTCTGAGGTCACTTCGTGCTGTTCACATTCCGGGCCTGCTCAACCGTACAGCCGACGAGCTGTCTCGAGCAATGCTCCCGGGAGAATGGCGACTCCATCCCCAGACGGTCCAGCTGATTTGGAGACGTTTCGGAGCCGCTCAGGTAGACCTGTTTGCTTCTCCAGAAACCTCTCACTGCCAGTTGTTTTACTCCCTGACCGAGGGAACACTCGGCACAGACGCACTAGCACACAGCTGGCCGCAGGGCCTACGCAAGTATGCATTTCCCCCAGTGAGCCTTCTCGCACAGACACTGTGCAAAATCCGGGAGGACGAGGAGCAAGTCTTGCTAGTGGCGCCGTATTGGCCCACTCGGACCTGGTTCCCCGAGCTAGTGCTCCTCGCGACAGCCCCTCCTTGGCCGATTCCTCTGAGGAAGGACCTACTGACTCAGAGACGGGGCACCGTTTGGCACCCGCGTCCAGACCTTTGGAAACTCCATGTCTGGTCCCTGGACGGGACGCGGAGGTTCTAGGTGACCTACCCCAGGAGGTAGTGAACACTATCACTTCGGCAAGAGCACCGTCTACGAGACACGCTTACGCCTTGAAGTGGAACCTGTTCGTCGAGTGGTGTTCTTCTCGCCGAGAAGACCCCCGGAGATGCCTGATTGCAGCAAGGGCTGGAGCGAAGGCTGTCTCCCTCCACCCTCAAAGTCCAGGTTGCTGCTATTGCTGCGTACCATGACCCGGTGAATGGGAAGTCCGTAGGTAAGCATGACCTCGTCATCAGGTTCCTTAGAGGGGCCAGGAGGTTGAATCCTTCCCGGCCCCCCTCTATATCCTCTTGGGACCTGTCTCTAGTGCTAAAATCACTACAGCAGGGCCCATTCGAGCCTTTGCATTCAGTTGAGCTGAAGTTTCTTTCATTGAAAACTCTGCTCCTGCTTGCACTGGCCTCCATCAAGAGGGTAGGGGACCTGCACGCATTTTCGGTCGACGATTCGTGCCTAGAGTTTGGGCCGGCTGACTCCCAGGTAATCCTGAGGCCCCAGCCCGCCTATGTGCCCAAGGTTCCCACTACTCCCTTCAGGGATCAGGTGGCGAGCCTGCAAGTGCTGCCCCCGGAGGAGGCAGACCCAGCCCTGGCTTTGCTCTGTCCCGTCTGAGTATTAAGGTGCTACGTAGACCGGACACAAAGGTTCAGGACCTCAGACCAGCTCTTTGTCTGTTACGGAGGCCGGCAGAAGGGGAATGCCGTCTCTAAGCAGAGGATGGCCCACTGGATTGTGGATGCCATCACCCTGGCTTATCAGGCACAGGGTGTGCCCTGCCCATTCAGGCTGCGAGCTCACTCAACTAGAAGTGTTGCATCCTCCTGGGCGTTGGCTCGTGGCGCCTCGCTGACAGATATTTGTAGGGCTGCGGGCTGGGCGACCCCCAACACGTTCGCTAGATTCTATAGCCTCCGTGTGGAGCCGGTATCCTCCTGTGTTCTCACCTCAAACGGGTAGTGGCGCCGAGAGGCCCCGGTTAGTGTCGGCTTGCTAAAACTGCTCCAGAGTGTCCTACAGTAGACCCTGTTGAGATCCTCCGTCACCCTCGGCAGCGGACGCGGCGGAACGTCCGGCGCCGGGCCTTCACGATGAATCCGCGGGAACCGTGGAAGGCTGGGTTCCATATTGAGACCTAAGCGGTTCTTGTATGTGTATAGTCCACGGTATAGCCATAGAGCCCGTGTTTCCCCGGCAGACTTCTGCCTTTCCAAGAGGGTTACAATCACCTCCAGTTCTCCATATACACCTAAGCGGATGCTATATGTGTATTTGCTTCCGAAATCTCCTTCGGGAAGGATGTGGCTTCCGCAGCGTCCCTGTTCCAAGTGGAGCGGGTATGTTTTCCCAGTTTTATCCAATCTCTTTCAGTAAGGTAGTGCTTTGAAAAATGGTGAGTGGAACTACTTGTCTCGAGCCCCGGCCTACACCAGATAGGGGCGCAGGCGGCTCGCACAGGGCACTGGAAGGGGCAGCACCATGGCACTTTGGTAGGGATCCCAATTCGTCGGTCACCGACATGATTCGGAGGGACCGACTGAAAGGGAACGTCTCGGTTACGTGAAGTAGATTGGCCTATCGAAGCGATATCCCAATTCGTCGGGTCACCGACATAACGTCTCCGTTCCCTCCTTCAGGGAACGAGGGTTACCATACGTAACCGAGATGTTAAAATTAGACCACAGATTGCCTCGATTTCGCCAGGTGGGCTAAAAGCAGACTACACGTAGCCCGTCCAATTTAGAGCTAAATCGTGGCTACATATAGACCATGTCATGAAATTACACTTATATCTTTGTAGATATTATTGACACTGCGAAAATGATGGGATATCAACCATCTCATGCGCTGTCTGGCCAAAAACTACAGTGAATCAGGTTTGACTATAAGTGGGCTACAGATAGCTGCTCTGACTACGAGCTAAATCGTGGCTACGCACAGGCTACGTATTGAGCATGTCAAAGAGATGAAACCAAACACCTTGTAAACGCTGTTGACTTTGCTTACATGATGGAATCTCACAAGTTATTTTGCCAAAAAACGACATGAAACCAAATTCAAGGTTATTTGGCCTAGAAGTGGGTTACATATAGCCGGACTATATCGGGTCTATACAAAACCAAGAAGTTGAAATGACGGCTATTGCTTGCTGGGCATGAAGACAAGTGAAACGGGTTATGAGCAAAAAATTCCTGAACTTCACACCTGAGCTCAAAAATTCTTGCTAAGACTTTTCCACGCGATAACCAACGCACTTCTGTCTGCAGCAGAAGTGTTTCGTGCTCGCTGCCCATTTCATTGCATATAGTGTGAAAAATCCGGAAATTTAATGGACGAGCTTTGATAAAGTTCACGATTTTCACCACGTCACAGTGTAAAGACAAAAGTTAATCTGGCATGTTTTTCGTTGCAAGGGCTTCTCGGTGGATGCTACAGTGCACCCAGGAAACAGATGGCGCAACTTTTCAGATGAAAGCTACTGCTCCTTTGTGCTTTCCCGTCATCAATTTCGCCCCGTCTGTACAAATTCCAGCGCAGCGTGCCCAGTCAATTTCGTTTACTCTGAAAAAGCTATCCATCAAATTGTAAATATCTTCCCCTGTTGAACATGTGGCAAGGGGACGGCAAAACAAAAAATCTTCAGAATCAGATTGAGCTTTATTGCCAGGTATGTTTTCACATACGAGGAATTTGTTTTCATGACAGACGCAGTGCAACAGAATGACAGCGACAGAACAAAAACACAGATAATAAAAGAAGAATAAAATAATAAGAAATAGAACAAGTAAATAAGGAATAACAATATATAAATTGACAATTGTATGTGCAGGTATATTACAATAGACAGTTTTGTATGTACAGGTATATTATGTGCAAATTTGAGGTGTAGACTAAGTGTGTGTGTTAGATATTACTAGTGTATAAATAGTGTTGTGTGTTCCACAGTTATTGTCAAGTGTTCATGAGATGTTCATGTTCGGTCTGCCATGCTCAAAACGGTCTAGTAAATTCATATAACGTTTCTCATGCCTGTTTATGACTGTTTATGTTTATATTATAATTTTCTTCAGTTGACTTTATGGCAGTCTTTATAAAGAAAACATAAAAATAATTTGCATTTACATTAAACAGTACTAAATTTTATATACATCACTTGGCTGAAAATACTTTGACATTTAAGTTAATATTTTTTTATAAAATCGAAATTATATATTGTACTTAAAAGTAAATCTAATTTTAATAGAATTATATTAAGCCGTATTTTTGTAGATACAATCTGTGATTCAATTGTATTACATAAAAACATAAACGTATTTGGTTTTTATTATTTCAAAGAGTCGGTGATTTGAGAACTGAGAATCGTGACTCTTTGTGAACTGGTCCTATTAATTCATCATTAAGATCCGATTCAAAAGAATGATTCATTCATGCATCGGCCGTATCCGAATCGTGTTCGAATCATCTCTGGTAGGCGTCTCGTTGTTAAGTTTTGAGACAGAGCTTCTGATTCGCTCTCAGCACGGTGTCAGCCAATCAGAGCGAAGCACTGAAGTGAAGCGTGAACGTCCCTTATGAGGCCTGTGAGCGACTCACGTAAAATGGCGACGGCGGAACCGGTGAGTCAATAAACTTCTCAAAGATTATTATACACTTCCCTGCCCTTCAGCGCTACGCTACAAAAATACCTGCCCTTACCAATACATTTATACTTAGTTTAGGCGAAAATTACGTTTAAATGTCGTCCTCTGTAAACTTTTAAAACGTTTTTCGGCATGTTTGAATGGGTGGCTCAACAAGTTTGGCTGAAAGTTGACAAGGCTTGTTCCAGACGCGTAGGACACGTAATTACTTTTCCAGATGTCTGTTACATATTTAATCAGTTCTTTCACTAGGATTCAAACCCATGAACTTGGCTAAGCTAGTGGCATGCTTTACTGTTTTTACTGTTATTACTTCATTGTTCTATTTGTGGTAATCTCCAGTGGGATGTAATAAAAGAGGACAGAGTGTTGTGAATGATCAGTTGCCAAAAGCGTAGTGTTTGTAAAACATAACGTCTGTGTATTTCTTTTTCGTTCGTTTATTTTTGCTTGTTTACTGTTGCCTGCTGATTTTTAGAGGTACTGTACGAGATTCTCCAGATTACAGTGGACCTTGCTTTGTGCTTGGGTTGCAGGATGGTATTGAGCCTATGTGGGAGGATGAGAGGAATAAAAGAGGAGGCCGCTGGCTCCTCACTCTCAACAAGCAGCAGAGGAAGTATGACCTGGACCGCTTTTGGTTGGAAACTGTAAGAGTTCTGAGTTAGTCACTGAACGCCCCCTCAACATACACACAAGTAATTCCTGTACTTCTGCAGCGCTGACTCTCTAACATTCACCTGTGTCGTACCTACAGCTGCTGTGCCTCATCGGTGAGGCCTTTGACGACTACAGCGATGCTGTGTGTGGGGCTGTAGTCAATGTCCGAACAAAAGGGGATAAAATCGCCGTCTGGACAAGTGACTACGAGAACAGAGAGGCTGTAACGCACATAGGGTGAGACTTGTGCATTCATGCTACAAATAAACGATAACATACTCAGCCTGGCACAATGTGTGATTGTGTTTGTTTGGCAGGAGGGTGTACAAGGAACGATTAGGCATCCCTATGAATATGACCATTGGCTACCAGTCTCATGCTGACACGGCCACTAAGAGTGGCTCCACCACTAAGAACAAGTTTGTGGTCTGAATATCTTCAAGGGCCTGAATCGGTCTCTATATCTTCAAGGGCCTGAATCCTCTCTCTCTCTCTCTCTCTCTCTCTCTCTCTCTCGCTCTCTTTCTTTCTCTTTCTCTCTCTCTCCATCTCTCTCTCTCTCCATCTATCTATTCTGTCTCTTTCTCTGCCTCTTAAAACCAAAGCAACAAAAAAACAGACTGGACTAAACTGCCATGAAACCACCCTGCAAGTACACTTTTCCCAAAAGCCCTTCACAAGCACACTCCTGAATGTCAACTTGCACAACCAATGAGGTTTACAGCACAGACAAAATTTGAAAATAACAGTACCTCTGCTGCTTGTTACATTCACACACATTTTATAAGTATTACTTCTGTATCATGCTACACTACACATGTTCTTGCTTTAACCCACTAAACATTCACACATCACTACACAGTTTCCCCGAGAAAAAAACATGCGTATAATGAAGTCACATTCAGTGTTTACCCCTGGCAAGTCTTGTTCAGAGATTGTAAAGTATTTAATATAGTTTTTTTTGTTTTGTTTGTTTGTTTGATTATTGGAAGAAATTGTCAATTTATTTAATGGCAGAGGAAAGGAAATGTCTGTGTTCTTTTATCCAGCAGCTTTGCTGCTTCAGTGCCTAATGAACATAAACATTTTAATGTATTCAGATTAATCGTCAACATTTCATTGAGATGGTTTTTGGCCAGTTGGGTGAATGTAATCAAACTAATCTTCATAGAGCTGCCTTACATCTTTAAGCATTGACTTTATTAAATTTGGGGGTTTGAAATTCAAGATAAGTGTTTTTATATTGTGAATTTTTGATGCATCATAAGTTTACATTCCTTGTTAGAATAGTAAACTGTGGGATTTTTTTCAGTGCTGTAACAGATGAATTGTGCTTGTCTGGATGTCATTGGCTTGAGTTGGCTCTTCAATAAGATAGCAGCATTATCAAATGGGCCCTGAAAATAAAATAGATTTGTGTTGATTCAATTTATTTCACTGAAAAGGGGGAAAGGCATCTCGGTATTCATCACCATAGTGTTGCAGTGTTGTTAATGGGCAATTAATTATTCAGAACATCAGAACATAAAATCTGACCATGGTAGATCAAAGAGGTGGCCTAAATATCTTGACTGAGGAGATGAAGAAGAAAAAAAAGCATATTATTAATAAAGATAATGTATCTTAATGTATCAGGTAGAATCAGGAGTTTTCCCACAATTTTCTGCAATTTGTGACACTTGACGTACTCAACTTTCAAAAGTATTGTAGACCCTTAGCTATGCCATCTATTTCTACTACTTTACACGTTTTAAGAAATGTAAGATTCAGATTTGAAAACTCATTCAATAAGCGAGTCACCACTGAGTTTGTTTTTTAGAGACATAAAGCTCCTTGTTTGCAGTGTTTCTGGCTGGAGGTTTGCAGTACACTGTATTCCACACCCATCACTACTCAGTCTAGTGTCGGAGCAAAACTTGATTGTGCTCACACAGCCACATTATTTTCTGAATCCAATATCAGTGTCTATGTAACTGAATTCATAGAGCTCAGAATAAGTTAAAGGGATCATGCAGTAGACTTTGAACAGTGCTGTACTATTTTGCACCAGAATGTCACCTGATACTGGCTGCTAGAGCAAGGACGAAGGGTTACTGCAAGCACATAGAAAGAAAATGATGATTTATTAGAGAGGACTTTGTTCAGAATCAAACTGGTGTAGAGATTTTCTATTTATCTCAGGGACAGGTGATCAGTACAGGCCTTTTTGTAGTTCTGTGCTTTTTATTTAAATGTTTAAAAAAATGTTAAAAAAAACCCAGGCTGCATTTATTTGATGAAAAATACAGTAAAACGGGAAATATTAACATTTAAAGTAACTATTCTATATTAATATATTTTAATGCATTTTTTATATATTGGTTCCCAAGAAATGTTGAAAACAGTTGTGCAGCTTTATTTTTGTGGAAATCATTATATTTTTTTCAGGATTCATTGACAAATAAGTTGAAAAGTTCAAAAGAATAGCATTTATTTGAAATAGAAATCTTTAAATAACATTATAAATGTCTTTACTGTCAGTTTTGATCAATTTAATGCATCCTTGCTAAATAAAAGTATTGATTTAAAAAAAAAAAAATTTTTACTGACCCCAAAATTTTGAAAACCCCAATTTTACTATAACATTAGTCATTTTTAATGCCATTTTGTCTTGAGCATATAGACAATTTAAACATACTGCAAAAACATGATCTTTTCCATTGATGGTTCACTAATCTGTCTTAATCTAGATTTTTTTTTAGTCAAGATGTTGGAGCATGTTTACAATTGTAGTGCATTTTTAAGCAGTGTGTGGAATGTGTGCCTTTATGGTCTTCGCTTTTAATTTACTGATTTATTTGATAACACTATAAGGTCTCATTTGTAAGTAAGTAATGCAGTTAATGCATTATAGCTAACATGTAATACATACAACATGTATCTTTGTTAATGTAAGTTAATAAAAATACAGTTGCTCTTTGTTCATGCTGGTCAACAGTACATAATGTAATGATTTAAAAAATCTATTCATGTTGAAATTACTATTAAGATTAATAAGCAACCCAATCTCACTGAAAAACGTAATGAAGTAGTATGGCGTGAATCGTATGAAAACATACAATTAGAAAAAAACATTTAAGGTCCACCCCTAACCTAACCATCACTAAGGCAAAAACAGATTGTATGAAAATGTACAAATTAATATCAATTAGCCACCAATTTGCCAAAACATAAAATAGTTATAAATTGCAATGGGAGTGTGTTGTAGTAAATGCTGTAGAAATATTGTTAGTTCATGTTAGCAAATGAAACCTTATTTTAAAGTGTTCTCTTTTAATTTGATGGCATGTTCTGTTGTGTTTTTTTTAATGTTTCGTATCTTTACTGTGGCTTAATGGGTCTAATGCAGTTTCAACATACTTTGATCAATGGATGGACAGATGCTTTAATAGTTAAACAAACAATGAGGGACCTAGACAATCAAATTTGACAACTACAAATCTCATTTTGCCATAAAAGAGTATTCTGGCTTATTTAATGGCTGACGCAGAGTCACTAATAATGGCAAAAAGAGATGCATGCAGATGTCAATATCATTTTGATGTCCTCTGGTTTATGTGGTACTGGACATCAGGATAATGAGATGTCAGTCTGATGTGCTGTTTGAGCTTCCTCACTTCACACCTCTAGAATCTCTAATAAGAGACCCTTGAATCAGTCTTAGTGACCCTCACAAAACTAATGAGGGGCACGCCGTTTGTTCACCAATTACCAGTCTCAGGCAGATGGAGATACGCAGTGCTGAAATCTTAATTTAGATGTCTGTTTTGCATATAGTGTGAATACTTGTTATGTGTGCATAGATACGTAATCTTAGATGAAAGTGTGGTCTTTGAAAATGGAGGACTCATTGGAAGGAAAAGCTAATAACAGTCAGACCTCTGAACTGAGATGAGACTAAGATGGGCAGTGAGGGCTCAACCGCTCTAAAAAGGAAAAGAGCCACTAGGCATATCTTTGACATTATACCCCTAACCTCTGAATACCATAGTATAAATGGTTCTTCACTAGGCAGGATGCTCTTAGGCCAAGTCATGTCTTATTACTTTGCGTGTTTGTACTTGCCTCTAGCTACCAGAGAGCATGAAAGCATTGTTGTAGCAATCCTGGCATGTGGCATGGGGTTTTTGCCAAACATTTTCATTATTGCAACAGTGGATGGCAGTGAAATAAGTATGTGTGGAGAGATAATATACAGTATATTATCAACATAACAATCTGGCTTTCAGATTTTTACCAAGTGTGTTCTCAAATACTGTATATTATTATTTGATCAAAATTACAATAAAAACAGTACTACTTTTAAATATTATTACAATAAAAGAACAGTTTATATTTTAATATAAGTGGTGGCAAAGCTGAATTTTCAGAAGTCATTACATTTCAGTGTCACACGATCCTTCAGAAATCATTCTAATGTACTGATTTGCTGCTTAAGAAAAATTTCTTATTATTATCAGTGTTGAAAACAGTTGTGCTGCTTAATATGTTTGTAGAAACTGGTAGATTTTTCAGGAGACTTTGATGAATAGAAAGTTCAAGAAAGCATTTAGAAATCTGTCAATTTTGATCAATTTAATTTATCTTTGCTCGATAAAACAAATAATTTCTTTCATAAAAACAAAACAAACAAACCAAAATATGTACTGACTCCAAACTTTTGAACTGTGTGTGTGTGTGTGTGTGTGTGTGTGTGTGTGTGTATAATACACACACACACACACACACACACTATTGTTCAAAAGTTTGGAGTCAGCACATTTTTTGGTATATAAGGTTTAGATTACACAACGTTTAGATTTAGTGGAATCCTCATTTACATGCTTCAATAATTGTCACTTACACAATATGCACTTTTCTGTGCAGCATTTTCATCTGCCAATAACCTAAATGTGAAAGTAATATACTTGAAGAGCATTTGGGAGGAAAGATTGTCAGATACACATCTATGAATATTATGATTAATGTCCACAAGATGGAGACTCAACCTTCACTTTGTCTCTGCCAATTAGTCACCCCCTCACTGACTTGAAGATCTCAGGCCTGTATGTCTACAGCCTGAGATCACTGCCACGGAGTTCACATGACTTCTCTGTTTGTTTGAGGAATCATATGCTTCTGTTCGATATACTTGTCTGATAAAATTTAACACCACATTTGCTTGCAGTAAAATAAATGTTACGCATACATGTATTTTTTATTATTACTGCTCCGGGTGTGTGTTCACTGTGTGTGTGTTTGTTCACTACTCACTGCTGTGTGTGTGCACTTGGATGGGTGAAATGCAGAGCCCAAATTCTGAGTATTGGTCACTATACTTGGCCACACGTCACGTCTTTTCCTTTCCTTTTAACACAATACTCTCTGAAGTCAGTATGCCATGTTCAGGAATAAATGCGATCTCTAT